AAGCTGAACTGGAACGAACATATCGAACATAAAGTTCATAGAAGCACGGCCGCGTTCTGTACATACAGGAGAGCGTTTGGAAATACGTGGGGACTCGGTCCCAAGATTCTCCACTGGATTTACACGACTCTCACACGGCCAATGATATAACGTACGGAGCCATCGTATGGTGGCAAGGTAGGGCATCCGGAAAATCAAAAACTCAACTAGACAGGGTACATCGACATGCTCCCGGTTCAATGAAGACGGCACCCACAGAGGCACTGGAGACACTTATAGGTTTACCTCCCCTGTACCTCTGCATTGAACACGAGGCATGCAAAATTATCGCTCGCAATGGTGGAGCGAGGGAACATATGGATATTCTCGATTATGGAATCGGACGGTGAAGGAATGCCCCCTCCTAGAGATGCAGGGGAACAGTTCTACTCCAGTTAGCAAAAGGCCTGAGTCAGTTATCCCAAAAAGAGAGGACTGGGGGCAGTTCGGGAAATGCCTGATCTCTACCACTGGAATCATCTGCTACATATATGGCTCCAGGATGGGTGAGTCAGCTTGAGCTGGGGTATATGGGCAATTTCCTAAAGCGGAACTCACTTACGTTCTGAGGAATTTTGCCACAGTATTTCAGGCGTAGGTTTTTGCCATACTCGCCTGTGTTGGAGTAGATGTCAACATAGGCTACCAAGGACAGATAATCACGATATGCAGAGCACACAGCCCCCAGAGGCTCACAACTTGTGAGTACGGGAATGGTGAACCCGAGGTACTCTAGCCGGATATTTACCAAACTTCTAATTGTCTTAAGTGATATCCTCTTCTCTCTTTCTTTTTCAATCTCTCCTATCGGCTTTCCTTGGCGAACTTCTCTTTTCCTGTTCCTCTCCAAGCCCAACCTCACCATCAAGTGGTGCGGGGAGGACAGACCGCAGCCGCTCGGCAGAAGAAGCATTTTGGGACCATCTTTGCCATCTCCAGGCCAGATAGGACAATTTGTGGACATCTGTGGCAAGGATGGGGCGATTTGCTGGTATCTGTCTACGTGGCCAAGGATTGGTCAACGAGACTCTGGATGCTTAATCCAAGCTGTGGGAACCCGTGGCGATGGATGAATGGCACCGAGGTATGGTGTTGCTAACAGGGCCTCTAGAAAGCAAGGCGAAATCTCAGAGTAAACTGCCTTAGCCCTGTGCAGGAGCACCACAGGGCTGAACCAACCCCTTCCCTCGTCACTCGTAGGAGAAGGAAAATTTTTGACCTTATTCGTAGACTAGAGTCGAATATGGTAAAATTGATAATGGCATGTAGGTAAGATACAATGGGCCACTAGGCCTAAGTGTCTTCGGAGGTCAGACGAGCCTATAAACGAGGTGGAGTCTAATTTGACAGTTTTTTTTTCGAATTTCGAGGTCTCTATTGTGGGGGCCCCGATTTTGTGGAGGCCACAGGGCTGTAGCCACGGATGTCCTTCCCTAAATCTGGCACTGGATAAATGCTTACAAATTAATTCGTATTCGAAATGTACGACGGCTCTAAACCCTGTTCTGAACTATAGCGGCTCTGATGAACTTTTTTTCACGAATATTTGCCTAATTTACTGTTGCGACTATACCTTGTTACATATTAGTTATATCCAAATATAATTCAATATTCTGTGGGATAATTTTATTATAACAGAAACATTTCCTATTGCTTGAAATTTTTCATTCCATGGGCGATGAGATTTTTTGAAATAATAACATAATGAAGTCATTGTAATATCAGATACGGTAATACATTTGATAACATACAAAGTAGGTACCTCATTGATGAATTGAACACAATAAAACAAGAGTAATTTTGTGATATAGCCGTAGAAAATTAATCTTATTTCTCATAAAACGTGATCCATCAATGCACCATACAGAGATTTATATAGAAATCCCGATTTATAAGATTGCTATAGTAAATGTCTCCATTAAATAAATCAATTCTCTGACAATGATTCCGCAGAGTATTTATCCTTTAATTTTCATCTTTTGGAGCGCATTGATTTATCCTTTTAGGGTTGTTGACATATACTTTCGGCTTTTTTGATTTATGAATGAATCTCGTTGTCTTTCTATTGTTGTAGTCTGAGGTAGGGATAGACCTTTTCGCACAATATTCAATGAATAGGGATAAAAAACAAACAATAGGCCACATTAGGAGTTGTATATGTGAGGGATTCGAAAAACGACATCATCCATTCAACTAGGAAAATAAAGAGACGTTCCACACCGCTAGTCAGTTGGAAAAGTGTCACTTCACATTCAAAGTAAGGAAAAATGATTTCACTACTGGCAGCCGTCATCAATGGTTTGCGTTCAAAGAATAATGAGTTGCTAAATTTTAAGAATTATTATGCAATATTTTTTGACGTTTCACATACCTGTCGACCATCTGCTTAGAAAGTATGAAAATGATTTAAAAAAATAATCTATCTAATACTATACGAGAACAAGAACGCGACAAATTGAAAAATAGTTCTACAGATCTTTTCTCAAACCATGGCATGGTCAGCTCGGAGCCCTAATTCAAATCCCATTTATTATCTCTGGGACATTCTTGGGAGAAGATCTCGGAGAAGATAACAAGCGGGACGTTATTTGAATACTTTGGAAGACGTTCAGCAGATACTGATTCAAATTTTGGAAGACGTTCGGCAGAGACTGATTCAAATTTAGGAAGACCTGAGTATGGGCCGTCTTTGCCAAGAAGATATTCGTGCCCGAGGCAGAAATACTGACCCTTTCGTTCAATTTGTGTTTCGTTGCTAAATTTTGATATTAATTTTTCATTAACTCTTGTTTGGCTATAAAATAGTGTTTTTCCATGAAAGAAATGTTGAAAAAACATGAGAAAGAGTACCATTTCAGTTCTATACAGTTTGCATACTAATGTTAAGAAGGACAAGTAGTTTTGACGAAACTATAATCTTAAACTTTTGGCTACTTTTTGGTGGTGCGTTAATTTCTTGGGGAAGTGCAAAATAGTATTTTTCAATTGTGAAAATAGTAAACCATCTTTCGTCTGTTTTCTTAGGAGAGCTAAAATATCATCCATGAATAAATTTCCAAAATTATTTCAGGTTCCTTCTTGGTTTTTGACTATTGGTTTAGCCAATAAGCCGCAATAAGCTGACCACCTATAGAACATGAAAAATAGAAAGGAGGGGAAAATCTATTGGGCAATTCTCGCTTTACAGGGTGTTTTATAAAGTACATTGAAAAATCGAGGAAATAATCTTGAAAGGATTATTGGGCTATAATAAAAAAAAATACTTGTACGGTCCGTTAATTGATGAAATATGTTCACTCGAGTGCTCATCATTTCGAAATCAGTTTTATTTCCTCGGATTGAAACGAACATTCAAACTGAACTCCATTTTTCTTAATAAGAATTTTTTCTTTGAATGCAACCCTCTATCGCAAAATTGGAACTTCGAAATCCGTTGGAATCAAACAATATTCCTTTCCAGACCTCAAATTTTCAATTTATTGCAAACTTTTTAATTTTGATTCATACTCATATTTTTTTTTACATGAATTAGTATACTGGTTCAGACATAATTTCATGAAATCACACCGTTTCCATCAGTATAGAACTGAAGGTAGAAAGCTCGGTAGAAAGGAAATGAGTCAGAGAATATGAAAGCACATTTACCTCGACATTTACATACAAGGTTGGAAAATTAAAAACAAATTCTCACAACAAATCAAAGATTCGAAATTTGGGTAAGTTCAGTTGTTGATTTTGAATATGTTTTTCTGAATTCTGGAAAAAAATACTGTTCCCTTATCTCTTATCCCTTATTTCTGTAGATTCTTCAGGTTTCGAATTGAAATTCAGAGGGGTTAAAATAAACCACATCAACCATCTTCCGGTTCAACAAGAAGTGAACAATTTGATTTTTCAAATTGAAGTAATTTAGTATACCTATTTGAATAAAACTTTTCTCTGAGTACACCCATAACACTTTCATAATATATACTATGTATAACAACATATAGGGTGATCCATTCGAAAAATTGAGTTGAATCCGCTCAAACCGTCAATTGATGAGTTAGAATAGAGAACATTTTTTATATTAGCTCTATATAAGGATAAATCTCAATTCGATACCTCAAAAATGTCCAGATATGACCGTTTTTTGTAACGGTCAGTAAATTATTCACTGATGTTTTCGATTTAAATTAATTTTGAATTAATGAAAATTAGTATCCGTAGTGGAGGTGCCACTATTTTGACTCACTTGAGCATGTGAGTGTAAAAGCAGCTATCATATCAGCTGTCATCCGACACACTTTTAGATCCTAGGATTTAAAGTTCAACTTTAGCACCTAGACAGTAAAAGTGTTGCCTAGCAACATACATACTAATCATTTTATTGTGTCAGTAAGAGAAACGTCGAGAGCATTAGCTCTATAAGGATAAATTTCAATTCGATTCCTCAAAAATGTATGTTGTAATGTTTTTTGTAACGAACGGTTAATTCTCCATTAATTTTGAATAAATGAAAATTAGTATCCGTTTTTTCTCTTTTCGTCAGGTAGGTACTCGAATGACAATCAAAAAGTTACTTTTCAGAAAACGTCAATCGAAAATAGTCCATTGTTTTATTCACGGAGTCGAGCACGCAAATTTTGCGAGTCAAATAGAGTCACTTTTGATCCGAATGAAAAAGTTTTTCTGCAATAAAAATATTTGATATCTAATTAATAAAATCTAATTGAAGTTAAGCAGCTATCTGAGCTATCATATCAGCTGTCATCCGACACACTTTTAGATCCTAGGAGTTAAACTTCAACTTTAGCACCTAGACACTAAAAGTGTTGCTTAGCAACATACATACCAATCATTTTTTTGTGTCAGTAAGAGAAACGTTAACTTTAAGAACTAAACAAACATGCACGACTTTTGAGTCGATTGCAGAAAAAAAAATCCGCTCATCAAACACCTCGACGATTTCAGATAGATACCTCGGAAAATAAATGAATAAACTCCTCAACTGAGCGTCGCAACCACTGCACTAATCGGTTCTCGTCACATTTACACCGTTTCGGTGTGTTTTTCGGTCGCGATAGGTGTCAAGTGTATACTGTTCGATTCGGAGAGCTCGGTGGACCGTCAGCGACTGTGGAAGTCGGTTTGGTGGAAGTGCGGACTGTGGCCCATCAATAATAATTTTCTTGAGTCGTACAACACACGACGGAGTAGAGCCTGGTGCATGGCTGGACCACGACGCCGATATCTCTGTTTCTCTACAGGATGTCTATAAGAAGTCCCAGAATATACACTGTGTACAAGATAAGGATGTCTATCAAGGGGATTGTTCTTTTTTTTTCTAACGTTATTCGAAGAGATATGGGAAAACAAAGCGAAGCCGAGCGGAAACAAAATTTGCGAGTCAAACAAAGTCACCTTTGATCCGAATGAAACAATCAATTTTTTCTGCAAGCGAAACAATTAACTCAAATGAATATGTGACCACCAATGCCGTGCCATATGTATGCAATGCAACAAATATTGACAAATAATCCGTGCGGTAAGAATATTCTACCTGCATTAACAGCAAGTTTATTCAATTTTCAAGGATGTTCGAATTGTAGTTTCAATATGAATACAACCATAGAGTGACATATTTGTGTATCGACCAGGTGCTCTAATGGTAGATACCGCGCCAGTGCCAGGTATAGGAACAAGACGATGAAAATGTTAGGTTAGTGAGCATATCAACAATAATAATAGCGATTCGTTTTTTTTTTTAATTAACTCGGCCGTTACTTGATGGAAATCCATGGCCAATGTAAAAACTTCACGAACGATAAGATTTCCACAAAATTCTCAAACACACGACATGTTTCGCTAACACAGTAGCTTCATCAGGTGATATACTGGTACAATGAACAGTTCATTGTACCAGTATATGAGTTTCGTAATGAGGTACTTTATGTTATGCTCTCAGATATAATCTAGATATGGAATAGAATTCGACTTTTCACATGTATTGTCTAGCACTTGACAACTCCTGATGAAACAAAACTATAAAAACATTTAATACAGAGTGGTAACATTTCTCCCTTCTTTTAAGTTATATATTCTTGAAGATAACTAGGTCGATGACACACTCTTGTTGGTCTAACATCTCTTCGTAGATTTTCCTCCGGTTCTCTGCGTACAACGATATCTTCTTGTATTGTATCATCATTGTGAGATGTGCCTTCTTGGATAGTTGTATCTTCGACTATATCTTGACTGGACGATGTTGACCCATGAGACAGAATGGATTGACGCGGATCAGAACTATTATTATTATCAGAAGAGTCAGTTTGCTCCCTAGAACTGTTTTCAAACATATCTATCCATGTATCACATGATAAGTTTTGCATGGCAAAATCATTATTATATCGACGTTTCAATTGGTTTACATGTAATCGTAATAATTGCCGACGATCAGTTGGAATGAAAACATTATACATGACATTACCAACTTTTTCTAATATATCACCTGGCATCCATTTGGAACTATTCATTCTGTATATCTTCGAACGGGGGAAAAAAGTGAGTACTTTTTTCCCGAATATATAGGTGCACTGTTGATGGCTTTTGATATGTGCCATGTTCCGAAAAATAAGCCAATAACACCGTGTCCGAGAAAGAACTGCCATCGTCCATTCCACTTCGCGGACTACGTAAATTACAAAAACAACCACTAAGTTCGCAATTTTTCAAAATCAAATTATGACAGATATTTGATTACTTCAAAAGAATTATGAAGATGCCAGCAAAAATATGTTTGCATCGCACTTGTTATTCCTGTTGAAAACTTCAAATTTCTCGTCGATAATTTTCCGATTTCAATATAATGTAATATCTTCTCAATATTGATTAGTCCTTCGGCCTGTCACAAAAAAATAGCGTATTTCACACAGGATAAATACGGCACAGTTTTTGGTTAATCCGTAATTGCCGTCAACAGCGAATGACATAACTGCCAAGAATTACAATTCAGACTGTTTGTCCAAACTATTTTGATGTACTATATGGCCGTAGATAAAGTATAGTACGTAATGCGTGATGCAAAGCAATTACGCAATCGTGCGTAATATGCTTCTTACAACAAATATTACGTAATATACCTACTATTAGCTCATTTTTTTTGTATCAACACAACACAACTTCGAGCTAGAATCTACAGCTTTTTTCACTTGTATAATAAATAACAATTTCTTCAAAACTTTATCACCCTGTATCACGAAAGTTAAGACTTTTAGGACATACGTTCATAGGACGTTTTTTTCTTAAAATGAGTCGAAGAATCATCCCCTCTAATATTAGCATGTCTTTAAGGAACACCTTGTATACAGTGTTACAATTTGATCCACCCAACCCCTGTACTTTCGTATTCCTAGGGCGATATGAAATATGTTTTCTCTCACAATATACTATACTCAAAATTATCTACTTTGTCGAGCAAACAAAAATTTCAAACACAATTTCTTGGCCTACTTCGATCACAAAAACTTCAGCAAAATTGAAGAAAACGGATTAGGCAAAAAATTTTATAATGGCGATCGATTTGGACTAGTCACAAATACTCTTATATTAATTTTCAGAACAATATCTCATAAGGGGTGTTATTTATCAATAACAAAGTAGATAATTTAGATAAAATCGCCCTAGGAATTCGAAAGTACAGGGGTGGGGTGGACCGCCGCGGACCAAATTGTAACACACTGTATATGATTTTATCCACGAATGCATATATTTGAAAGCAAAATTATGCGTCAGGCGCGGTCTATCTCTCGATCCAAATCGGTATTAATCATCCCAGAATCACGTCATTTGACATGTTGTATTTTGTCAAGATTTGTCATGTAAATCCAGAATTAGTGGGATCGTTTTCCTTAGAATCCGAGTTGGAACCAGAAAGAATTCCATAATTTGGTTTGGAGAAACTGTTATTATATTGTGGATGTGGCAGGGATGGCCAGGGCTATGCTCATCAAAGGTAACCTAACAGATAGTTTGTGTGCCCCTCAAGAAACCATGTCAAAATCACGTGTTCTGGAATGATCAATATTATGCGTTACAAAGGTTTATTATATATAGTGTGCCATGGACAATTAACGGTATTTGAATGGCAAAAATCAATTTGACACTTCTGTCATAAAGAGTTTGTTTATTGTGTAATTACATGTGGAAGTATTCATTGAGTAAGTTTGGAATATGAGGAAGTATATAATATGACATCATAATTGGAATTCAAGAAGGAAATTGTTGTTTTATAATAGTGATGAAGAATTGAAGATTGAAGACATTGACTACTTGGATAGAACGGATCTTATAAGTAGGTATATTTCTGCCAAGCATGCTGAAGCCAATTTATTTTACCTCCCACGGGAGGTAATGTTTTTTTCCTCCCATGGGAGTAAATTGACAGCTTTGTGTCTTTGAATGAGGGAGCAAACGCCTACTTCCGATTCGGTGAGTAGATGAAAAGTTATTTATTATTCAAGGGAAAAAAGTAGTAGATTTTAGCTGAATATTGAGAAGATATTACATTATATTTAATTCAGAAAATTATCGACAGCTTCTCATGATCTACGGCTTGTTCTAGAATACTGTTCCCACATATGGGGTTCAGCACCAAAACATACGCTGATGCTCTTGGAATCCATCCAGAGAAGAGCCATTCGCCTGGTGGGTGACGCCACGCACTCACTCACTCTTTGTCATCATTGGAACACCGTAGAAAGGTAGGCGACCTTTCACTTTATTTCTATCGATACTTCTACGGAAACTGTTCTTCGGAAATCTCTGCTATCATCCCTTCACTAGTAATACCAGTCAGACGAACTAGACAAGCCCAGTCAGCACATCCTTTCGTTGTCAACCTCGAAATATGTCGAACAGCATTTTATCAAAACTCCTTCATCCATATAGAATCGCTAGGCTCTGGAATTCATTGTCTGAGGAAGTATTCCCAACAACATATATTATAATCTCCAGAAGTTCAAAAAAAAATCCAATACCTACCTCCTGTCCCTATCCTCCCTAGGAACGCACGAAGTTCTTTGAACATTATAGGGATTTCCTTTCGTGCGCTCCAAGCGATAAAAAAAATAGACGTGAAATATGGTGTTCTTAACAATAATGACACCAGCGTTGCAGGCATCTTTTTGTAGGCATATTCATCATTCTTTTGAAGTAATCAGATATCTGTCAGTCTAATTCTGATGTGATTTGATTTTCAAAAATTGCGATTTTAGTCGTTTAATGTTTAGTAATATACGTAACTGCGCGTAAGTCGCATAGCAGATCAAAGGACCTGCAGTTCTTACTCGGAGACGGTGTTATTGGCTTATTTTTCGGAACTATGGCACAACAAAAGCGATCAACAGTGTATGTTGAGTGTATACAGGGTGATCCACGGTGGGTGGCCTATTAGAAGTATCTGAAGAACGAAAAGACAGAACATTCTGAAAGATGGGATGCTTCGATAATTGAACATTCTCTATCCGTCTAAAATATTTTCATTGATACAGTGTTGCCACTCCTATCAGAAACAAGTAGCAACTTCGTTATTTTAAATGGAGCACCCTGTATTTTATTGCATTTTTAGATTTTTCCTGAAGAGCTGATTCCATCAATGTATCACACTTGGGGTCTAGCAGGAATGATTACAGATTATAGGGTGTTCAAAATCGAGATTTTTCAATTTCAGGAGTTTTTTGTGTCTATATACTATTCATTATCGATCAAAACGGCTTACATGTTCCTATATTAACTTTCGATTCACTATCTATTGACATTTAATTGGGACAGATACAGGGTGATCAGAATTCTGAATCTTGAAGCACCCTGTATTCTTTCCAATTAATTTCCTAAGCCGTTTTGATCGATAATGAATAGTATCGACACAAAAAATTCCTAAAATTGAAAATTCTCGATTTTGAACACCCTATATCTCTGTAATCATTCCTGCTAGACCCCAAGTGTGATGCATTGATAAAATCAGATCTTCAGAAAGAATCTAAAAATGCAATAAAATACAGGGTGTTCCATTTGAAATAACAAAGTTGCTAGTTGTTTCTGATAGAAGTGGCAACACTGTATCGATGAAAATATTTCAGAC